CTGAAATCATAGGATGCTGACCTTACTGTACTGCCTTGCCCCGAAGCCTGGGGCAGTACCTCCTCATATGGCCAAGGTCTCCGCAATCGAAACAACCCCACGGTGCGGCGGCCTGCTTCCCTGATGGCTGACCCTAATGGCATGTAGACCCACTGGAAGAAGTCTAAATAACCGGTGGATGGTATGAACTCTCCAGCATAGCACTGAAATAAGAATCAGAAGAGCCCTAAGGACCTGAATACCCCCGGAGGAACCCTGAATAGCTGGCGAGCGGTACGAGCTCTCTGGCATGGCGCTGAAATAAGGACGCGGTGGAGCATCCCGAGCAGGCGGTGGTGCTGCATATGGGGGCCTGCTGGGCTGACCCCTCCCAAACTGACCTCTACCCCTAGTCGGGGCACCTCTGAACTCTCCGGAGAATCTAACCCTCTTATTATGCTGCATCTGCTCTCTACCCCTCTGGAGATATCCCTCAATCCTGCGAGAAATCTCTACCACTAGCTGATACTCTGTACCCATCTACACCTCTCGGGCCATGCCAGATCGAATACCGGGGTGCAACCCCAGAACAAATCTCCGCACTCTCTCTGCATCTGTGAGAAGTATCATGAGTGCATGACGAGACAACTCAGAAAACCTCGCCTCATAATCGGTCACAGACATCTGACCCTGCTCAAGATGCTCAAACTAATACCGTAGCTCTTCCCTCTCAGATGGTGGAATGTACCTATCTAAGAATAACTGTGCAAACTGACCCCAAGTGAGTGGGAGAAGAACTTGTTGGCCTCCCTAGAACATAGTATTGCCACCATCTACGGGCCCTACCCTCAAGCTGAAAGGTAGTGAAGTCAACTCCATGCGACTCCAATATCGTCATATTGTGTAGTTTGTCCCTGCACCTATCTATGAAGTCATGGGCATCCTCATGACGCTCGCCCCCGAAGACCGGAGGGTGAAGCCTAGTCCATCTATCCAATAACTTCTGCGGATCGCCATCCGCAGCTGGTCTAGGCTGGGGTGCCACTACAGTAACTGGCTGAGCCCCATATGCGGGTAGTGCACCCGGAGTCTGATACACTGCAGTTGCATGTCCAGGAGCCTAAGCAGTAAGGGTCTGTGCTCCCCCTCCTGCCTGTGATGTAGCTGGATCTGCTGTAAATAAACTAGCCTGAGTCATAGAATCCATGAACCGCAGTATACGGCCCATGACCTCCTGGAATCCCGGTGCTGTCATAAAGTCCGCCAGGGTAGGCTCAACTGCGGGCACCTCACCATGCTCCTCGATGATAGGATCTCCCGCGGGATCTGCTGGTGGTATCACTGGGATAACTCTGGGATGCCCTCGCCCCCTACCTCGGGCCGGTGCCCTCCCCCGGCCTCTGCCTCGGCCTCTAGCAATGGGGGAAGCAGCGTTGCCCGGGTCTGGAACATCAGACGTGCGTGTCCTCACCATCTGTGAGAGAATAGAAGAGGGAAATTTAGCACAACAACCACTGCACGATAGGAAATGAATAAAGAGTAGTTTTTCCTAACATCTTATAACCTCTCGAAGATAAATACAGACATCTCCGTACTGATCCGCAATACTTTATTAGGTTTTCCCATGACTTGTGAAACCTACGTGAACCTAGTGCTCTGATACCATGTTGTCATGATCCATTTCCATAACAGATCGTGATGGCGCCCAACATCGTTGTCAGGCAAGCCAATGTGGAAGTATTAGTAAATTCTTATTTTACTTACCCAAAACGGTTACTACATTTCTGAATTTGAAATTAAAACAGGTGATAATATGCAACATTCGATAATAATTATACAACCCAAAAGAAACGTCTACTAATATGTTTGCCAAGACTTGGTGTCACAAGTTATGGGCAACTAGTAGAATATACAAAAGAATAAATCCATCTCACTGTCCGAAATAGAATAGACGGCAAAAATAAATAAAGATAGACTTCATCAAGCTGCTGAACGACACAGGAAGGGGAAACTCACCCTGGAAGACTCGAACTATGAATCAGGGGGGCGCACCAGACTGATAGCCAGATGTACCTGCCTCAGATCCTGTACAATTAAGTACAGAAGTGTAGTATGAGTACATAAACAATATGTACCCCGTAATTATCCCGTCTAATCTCGAAGAAGTAGAGACGAGAGGTTGACTTGATACTTACTAAGGTAAAATAATATAATGAAGTGTTACACTAAGCATGGGAGTCACAAATAATCAGCAGTTTGTAGCAAGAGGTAATATGTCATGTTCTTAACAATTTTACAATTAGCCATTTACATTTCAAATATTTAGCAGGTCAAGTCATGGATAAGATTTCACATAGATATCATGCGCACACTATGCCGAGGTCGACAGTCCGATCCAACAGAAAATAAATTGTGCACTGCCAGAGGGCCGAATAGCGCGAACCATAGATGCATCTATTGCTACCGAGGCAATCGACCCGATCCACAAATATCAATTAATATCAAGAAAACACATGAATGCGCATTTACTTTCAAGTAAATTCATACAAGTGTCCAACAAGTGTATACATTCGCTTATATTCCTTTCCAAGTCTCTAGCATGCCCTAAGTGATCACATTAGCAAGCAAATATAGAGACGTTCACAAATATAACATCATACGGGTCCTAGACTACCCGGACAATTAACATAATAGTAGCTACGCACGGACTCTCGTCACCTAGTGCGTACGTAGCCCCCATATTTAGCAACAAATTACTCAATTATTACACCTATGGGGACAATTTCCTCTTACAAGGTTAGAAAGGAGACTCACCTCGCTCCAAAGTGCACTTCCAATAACGAGCCCAAACCCTCAATTCGGAGCCGAAAGATCCAAAACTAGTTAAATGAGGTAAGAACTAATCAATATAAGCTCACAAGATTGAATTCTAGCTATTTAGCCAATTTCCCAACCATTAATACAAGTTTCTAAAATCCGACCCCCAGCCCACGTGCCCGGATTCTAAAATTTTCCGAAGAAAGTTATTTTATAACCTAAGGATCAATAATATATGATTTCTAATCCATTTCATAACCAATTTCGTGGTAGAATCTAAGTTTTATTAAAACCCTAGGTCTAGCTCTAACCCCTTGATTTCTCCAAATTTTTAGGTGTTAATCTACCCAAAACTCGAGTGTTAAACTTAGAAATAAGGGGGATGAACTTACCTCACGATGCTATGTGGAAATCCCTTCTAAAGAGCTACAAAATCGCTCAATACCCGAGTGCCAAATGGTCAAAAATGGCTGGAGCTCGACTTAAATGAAGCTCACTGCTTCAGCAGTTTCCAAATCTGCGGTTAGGGGATCACATCTGCGAGAGGAAACCGCATCTGCGGAATTGGCTAAAAGAGCTGGGACCGCTTCTGCGATTTTGAAGCCGCATCTGCGGCTAAGGAGCCGCTTCTGCGGTTTGGCCTGGCCAGCTCTGGGCCGCATCTGCGAGGCTACGACCGCTTCTGCGGTATCGCACCTACGGTCGACCAACAGCAGGTGCGGTTATGACAGAAGCAGATGCTTCAGCACTTTTCCAAATTCTCAACTTCACTCGAGCCTCATCCGTTTGACGCTCGGGGCTCCCGGGCCCTGCCCGAACATACCGACAAGTCTGAAATCACGAGACGGGCCTACTCAAACCTTCAGAACGCCCGAAATAACGTTAAATCTAAGAGTCACCCTCTAAAACCAAATGAATCAAACTTATAAACTTCAAGTTCTTAAATTTCCTCTAACGAGCCGAAACACCCTAAAACTGCTCGGATTGACACCAAATTTTGCGGGCAAGTCTTAAATGATATATCGGACCTGTACCGGGCTCGGAACCAACATATGAGCCCGATACCCATGGAATCAATCATTAATTAGTTTCATTAAATCTTTAAAACTTCAGATTAACAATTTCTGATAAAAATTCATTACTCGGGTTAGAGACCTCGGAATTTGATTTCGGGTATACGCCCAGGTCCCATATTTTCCTACGAATCCTCCGGGACCGTCAAATCACGAATCCGGGTCCGTTTGCTCAAAATGTTCACCAAAGTCATACTTAGCCTTTTAAGAAAATCCTAAGGAATCAAATGGGCATATTTCACTCCAAACTCTTCCAAATCCCGAACCCACCATCCCCCTAAGTCGTAATTAGTTAAAGCAAGCGCGTAAAGTTTTATTTAAGGGAACAGAGGTCTAAATGGCAAAACGACCAGGAGGGTCGTTACAGGATAATGAACCATTTTCTTGTGACGACTACCATGTTGCTAAACAATAGCATGTTTGATTGTTTATTTCAAGTAGCATAATTAAATTGGGACGGTTTTGATATTTTTTACAAGTTATGGGGTATAAATCATATTTCATGGTTTTGCAAAAAAAAGATATTCAAATATGTTGCAAAAATTATAACCAAACACAATTTAATCTTCAATTCAAATTTTAGTGAAATTCCAAATTTGAAAATTTATTTTGGAATTCATGGCCAAACACCTACTAATTATAGCGAGCCAAATTCAGATATTTGTCTCTGGGCTTTTGAAAACGATACACAAAAATACATGAAAATAGGACGTGTTAACCAACTTTCGAACCGGTAATTGAAAAATAGCTAGTATTGTAAAGTAATTGAAAATAGTCAATATTTTGCTACAATACAAAAAGTTCGACGTAATATACTGGAGATTAGTACAAGTGCGCATGTATATGAACTTCTAGCATATTATGCTAAAACTCTAGCACACGGAAAGTTCCAACATAATATACTGGAGATTGGAGCATTTGTGTATGAACTTCCGGCATATTATACTGGAACTGTAGCACACGGAAAGTTATAGCATAATATACTGGAGATTTTGAACAGTGTATTTGTTCAAATTTATCTTTAAATAAAAAGTGATTAATTTCGAATTTTTTTTAAACTGTGGCTATTTTTTTAATTATCACCGGCTATTTATGAATTTCACCCCAAAAATACTGAGAGAGATCCAATGCTGAGCAGAATCTTGCAATGGCATTGTATTCATAGACTCTTCTTTCAAAGTACAAAGGCAAGTGATTAAGTAAATTTAAATTAATATGGAAACTAGGAAGCAAACGTTGAATCTCCACTACAAAGAGCAATGCAACATCTTCAACAATCAACCTTCATCTCCATATTAGTATACGGTGTATAACATTCTGTAGATTAGCAAAATGCTATTAATAAGCTGAAGTAGATTAAAACGGAAACTTAGTAACAAAGTAAAACTTTCCATTTCCACTTCAACAACGACACTTTAATTGAAAAAAAGTAAACGGATTTTTTGTTCTTTCCACAAAATAAAAAAGTTACAGAATACAACATCTTCATCTTGACATTTCTTGATTCTGTACATCACATCGACTAAAATAACCTTGTTTCCATGAACCCTTTAAGAAACAATACATCTTTTCGATAATTTCAAAGAAAAAAAATTCAGAAATAAAGCCAATACCCAAACCCCGGAAAAAAAAAGAAAAAAGAAAATTAAGATGAATAAAAAATAAACCTTGCTGTATCGTCTTTTCAGTTTTCTGAAACGACACCGTTGCCTCCACGAGCAATAGCTTCAGCGACGGAGCCCAACTTCTGAAGATTCAACTTGACGACAGTATCAGCAAAAAGACGAGTGTCTTCTTCAGTATTCCCTTCAGGCACATCAACAACGTAAGATTCCAAAACAACGGTCAAGATTTTCCCATCGAGTTGTTGATCGAATCCATGTACAGTAGTAACTGACCTGTAATTCCTCAATCTATGTTCCCCACCAATTATACTGAAACCCGTAACGTACTTTTCATCATCCAAAATATCAAGCCTCTCAGTACTTGTATCCGCCGGTAAACCGGAGATGACGTTGACGTCGCGCGTGGCACCCACGACGATGGAAAAGTTTTCTCCGACGGAACAGCTTTTGATGAAGTGTTTGTATATCTGGGGTTTGTCGAAACGGCGGACGACGGACCAGACGATGTGCGGCGGCGCGTGGATGCGTTGTGCGAGTAGTGAAGAGCATTGTGTGGCTGAGTTGACTCGGTAGGTGTGGAACTCAGTGACACTTGATTTTAGCTCATCGAATTCTTCTGGTGTCAAACCGGGTGGAACCGTTAAGTGATGGGTCGTGTTTGATGACCCGTTTGGTTCTTCTTCGTGCTCTTGATGCTGCTGACGAACGTGGGTCATTGAGCTCTCAGATTGCTCCATTAAATGGAGAGAGAGGTTTGAAATGAAAAAGTTGGAGAAAGAGATAGATAAAGAGAAAGGGGGAAAGAGATTTTATTTTGTTTACATTCGTGAGCGATTACAGGTAAAGAGAAAGGCCAATGGAAAAAATAAAGTGTTTATTTTATTCTTATTTTAATAAGTGAATAATAGAAGAGATGCAATCACTTTGTTTTTTTAATGTCGAAGAGTCTATGACTCTATATATGACATGTTAATTCCACCAATTTTATAAAGGGCAAAATAAAAGCACTAAAGTAGAAGGACATTCAAATATTAAAAGGTACTATGAAACTCTTTTAAAAAAAAAATGATACGAAAAATATATAACTATACGTTTTATGTTATAAATATATATTATATTATGAATGTTCATTTAGTATTACGATGTAAATAAGCTTCCTGAAGAAGCTTATCCATATGAGACTCCGCCGTAAATATGGTTATCTATTTACTACTTTATTGGAAATAAGGTTAAGCTTATCATTTCGGTACTTCGTTATGGATAAATATTACCCTTGACAGAAGATTATCTACAAGTAGCTTACACAGCAGCTTGCAGTAGAACCTTACACAGCAGCTTCCTTTCTTCTATAAATAGAGGAGATTTCATTTCATTATATACATGAATTTGAAGTTGAATAATAAATCTCTCTCTTGTCTTTAATTTCTTTACTTTAAAGTCTTTATTTTATAACATTTTATTTATTTTAGTGACACTATTTTTTCATCAATGTACTTTTAAATGAATTATATATTTTTATATTTGAAGAAAATTCACATCTTATTCTTAATGGGAAGCCTTTATAAGCACATAAATACTATTATATGTTTAAGATTACAAATTTCAAAGGTCTTATAATTATCAATTATTATAAAATACATAAAATTAAAAGTATTTATTCTTCTAAAATTTTATATCAAATTATAATATATCACTCACATTGAAACGACGAAAGTGGAGTATATAAAATGAGATTTGAGTAAAAGAGAAAATTTAGAGAATAAATGAAAATGTAGGGAGCGTAGGAATGTGTCAAGGTCAAGTAAGTGGGAGGACAGGTTGGTTGCTGCCCCGCTAGGTGGCCCGTGATTGGTTGAAAGGTCAGGTAAAGCTCTTAAGCTGCAAGTCAAGACAAGTTATTTTTTCCTTATTTTGCACAAGTCAATACTGCATTTATTACTATCTATTTTTCTTCTTTTTCGAATGAATCTTTACTTTATTTGTTGTTTTCTATTTCGTTTACTTTTCGAGTAATTTGATTATTTTTTACCAAGGTAATGATATTCAGATATTGTAATATGGAATTTTGGATTTATATTTTAAACTGCTTTTTTTCTTTTTAAGTTAGAGTATAAGTTCATTTCATGGGGGTAATGTTTAATTAAGCAATATTTGTTTCTCAAATTAGAGAATACATGTGTAATCACGAATAATTTCACAACTTTTTTGTATTAGCTTGATCATAAATATGAGAAAACAATCTCTCATTTTCATGATCAAACATAAATTTGCTGGCAGTATACGGGGGCGACCTCACAAATTTTGTGTCCTAAACCCTAACTCTATGAGGGACATTAACTTTTTATTTTATTTTTTATTTATTTGAAATCTATTTTTTAGCTATTTCACTACTAGAAATTCGGCAAAAATCGACCGCGGTCGACCGACCAATTTTGATCGGTCAAAAAATCGGCCAAAAACTGAACCAAAGTCGGTCGGCTTTCGAAATATTTTATTTTTAATTTTTTTTTACGAAATCGATCAACTTTGGTCGGTTTTCTTTGGCGCAAAAATGCGAAAAACTATTTTTGATTCCCACAAAATTTATTTTTCAAGAAACCGACCAACTTTGATCTTTTTTATTTAAAATAAATTAAATTTAATATTAAAAAATTGACAGAAATCGATCGGTTCGGTCGGTCATTTTAAAAAACCGACTGAATTCGATTGGTAATTTTATTTTTTAATAAAACCGACCAACAATGGTCGGTTATTTTCGTGCGAAAATACAATTAAAGAGTATAAATGAAATAAAAGACAGTCTTAAACAAAATGTACCAATGGTCTAGTGGTAGAGTAGTATTCTGCCACAGTATACACCTCGATTCGATTCCCAGATGGTGCATTTTTTAATTACATAATTAAAATACCGACTGACTTTAGTAGGAAAAAACCGACCAACTTTGATCGGGTTTTCAACAATTTTTTTTTAATTTAATTGACCGACCAAAGTAGGTCGGTAATTTTCGACCAACTTTGATCGGTATGCCCTTCCAACCTTCAAAATACTGACCACGCGTTAATGATCGCATTTTGGACGGTTATTGGCCATTACCGACCTACTTTGGTCGGATTTTTTTGACTATTTTTTCCGAAATTCTAGTAGTGTCTTAGATACAAAGTTATAAATAATTTTCTTATAATCAATAACTCCTAATAAGTATTTCTCAATTGACAATATAGCTAATCCATTTAACCTATCTTGTGACATTGTTGTTCTTAGGTAAGATTTTATCAATTTTAATTTTGAAAACTTCTTTCCACTGAAGTAACGATAACATGAGTTATTAACATTATCCCACAAGCAATTTAGTCAATTGAAAAAGAATTAAATCTTTTTATTTGATTAAGTATATCAATTAAACTGTTATCTTCTAATTGTACCATTTTCCTCAATACTTTTAATTTCAGAAAAGAAAATCTAAATCATCAATATCGAATTGATTATTATGCTTTAAGGAACATTTAAGATTAAGACAATATTTTTTCAAATTTTCAACATCTAGTGATCTTAGTGTTGGGATTTTAAGTATATGATATGCTTAAAATAGGGTGAATGGAAAATGGAGGGAAATTAAAATTTTAAGTGAAATTTTAAGTTTTCTCCCTTGGCAAAGGGACATTGTCCCATATTGGAAGAAGAAGAAGAGGTTTTTTATGGGTATATAAGCAATTGCTCTTTTTCTAGATCTTAAAGAGTTGAGAAGAAGGCAAGCCTCGCGCAACCATCATCGTCGCTCGCTTGGCTCGGCTTCAGCTTCGGTGTCACAACCCTAGACCCGAACCCGGTCATGATGGCGCCTATCGCGAAACAAGGACATCTGATACAAATCCCCATATCCATTTAAACAGTTACAATAATTCAATTTAAGTCATTAATGAGTAATAAATCCCAAAAATAGAGTGAAATAGAACAAGTGTAGAATAAACACAGCCCGACATCGGGGTATCACCAGTCATGAGCATCTAAACATCCACTTAAGAGTAGGAAGAAACTACAAAGTCTACTACAAATCCAATACAAATGAAAATAGAGATACGAAGGAGAAGCATTAGGCTGCGAACGCCGAGCAGCTACCTAGTGAACTCCGAACAATTTGCTGGAAGCAATCAACCCTCGCTAGCAGGATTGAGGCTCCTAAATCTATAAACAGGGTGCAAGGAGTAATGTGAGTACGCCAACTCAGTGAGTAATAAAAGTAAAAGCAGCTGAGCGATAAGAAAAAACGTAAAACACAGCAAAATGCTACAAAGAGGCAGTATAAAACCAATACAATGCAATAAAACAGTGAAAACTTGTACAAAACACCTTAGTTCAGTAGAAACCTCCTTAAAACATCTTTTAGCAGTTAAACGAGTGAAAGAAAAGCAATGAGAAAAGATAGACACATAAAATTAGCCTCTCGGGCAAAAGACCAATAGAATCAGCCCCCTCGGGCTATCTCACAATCACTCGTATCATCCCCTCGGGCAATAACATGAAACAACATCAGCCCCTCGGGCTATATCACATCACAAATTGGGTACCCGAGCTCACTGGGGGTGTACAGACTCCGGGATGGGCCCCTTATGACCCAAACGCAATATCAAGCTATCTCGTGGCATAATCAAACAGGCTCTCGGCCTTATACCAAGCCACCATGTGGCGTATAACTCAGGCCATCGGCCTCATAATCATGAATCGACACAATACCGCTGCGGCGCGCAGCCCGATCCAAAAGTATCCTCACAACACAGGCCCTCGGCCTTAATCAGTCAGAATCTCATAAGCCACTCGACAACAATAAAACTTGATGCTCAGCCTAAAATATCATTTAAAATATCAAAAAACAAGTAAAGATGGCTGGATTATGAAAACGGTAGAATATAGCATAACTAAATGCAATTACGAAGTCAAAATAGTGAGAAATAGTAGTAAAAATCCCCTAAGGGTCAGTTGGCACGAGGCCCAAAACATGATGATAGCAAACAGTTTTCAATCAAATACATAGTTAAACAGTCATACGGGATGGACTAAGTCACAATACTCAACGGTGTATGACCCCACGCTCGTCATCTAGCGTGTGCGTCACCTCAAAATAGCACAACGATGTGAAATCCAGGGTTTCAGACCTTCAGGACAACATTTACAATCATTACTCACATCTATCCGGTCCAAACTCTAGCCCACGATGCCTTTACCTCTTGAATTGGCCTCCGGATGCTCCAAATCTAACCAAAATTAGTGCACAACCATCAAAATATGCTAAGGGAACAAAGCCCACTCGAAAGTAATCAAATTACAATACAAATGCCGAAATTTGCCAAACCCGACCCCCGGTCCCACGTCTCAAAATCCGATAAAAATTACATCAATAAACTCCTTATCACTCCTCGAGTTCATTCATATCAAAAGTACCAAAATCCAATCACAAATGACCCCTCAAATCCCTAATTTTTGGTCTCCAATTACAAGACCCAATTCTTCAATATTAAGGCTTAAATTCTACAAATTCCATGATTAATTAGGTAGAAAACACATTAGGATTGAGTATTAAGTCCATAAATATTACCTCCAAGTGTTCCCCCTTGATTCCCTCCTCAATCCTCTTCAAAAAGCTCTAAAATCGCCTAACAATGGTGGAACTTAGGCTAAAAATTGCGGAATTGGTCTTTTAAGACATTCTGCCCAGCACTTAAAACCTTTTCTTCGCGAACGCGGTCAACGCCTTGCATTCGCGAAGCATAACCTAGCGTTGACCACTTTTCCTTCATCACGAACGCGACCCCACACCCGCGAACGCGAAGCTCACTGACCCTAA